GAGGACTAGTGGTGGGGTTGATTTGACCGTATTAGTTACTTTTATTGTGTTACGGACCAGTTCTACCTAGAGTTCTAGAGGACAAATGCACTGTCCATGGGAATTGTCATACAAACTGCCCCCCGGGGAGCTACTCGTCGGTCGCCTCATTATTGTCTAACATTGTTTACATCTGTAAGATTCTCGTAGTCCCTTGGCGATAAGTGATAGGAGGTAATTAGCGGACTCCCTCCGCTCGATTAACCAATACCTCAGGTCCAACTCAGGCGATCGTACTTCATACGCACCCCCCCCCCCCCCCCCCCCCCCCCCCCCCCTTCCTCCCTTCTTCCCCCAACGCCACGCAGCTATGCAGCGGCAACTTTCCCTCTTGATAAATCAAACCATCCCGATCCCGATTTCTCCTTCCATGTCTGAAGATCGAGCATTACCACCACCGATCGCGGTCGCTCCACATTTCAACATTGTGTGCAAGCAAGCGCTGCCCACCACCGCCCATTACGCCTACTACCATCGCCGCTAGACTGCCGACCGTCGCTGACCGACCGAGTCGTCCATCGCCGCTGCGCACACCGTCGGTCAATCTCTCTTCGCATCGACGGTCCTCCATCCATCCGTCGCCTGCTCCTTTCCCTTCCCCCCGCCGGCCCCCCTTTCTCCAAGGGTCCTCGCTTGGCTCTTACTCTTCACCCGTGCGTCCCCACGTGCGCACGCCGTCTGCCTTCCACCAGGCGCTGGGCCACGGGTTCGTTTGATGCCTTCCGGCCCCTCCAGTCCACGATCCGCTTCCCTCCCGAGACCCGGGTCGTACCCTTCGGGCACCCGTTTCCAGACTACGGCTAACCCGACCGAGCCGCACGGTGATGCCAGCAACGATGGGCAACAAGACCCGGTTACTCCGACGAAGCTATCGTGGAACCATCTCAGGCAAGGCGAAAGTCATCAACGCGTATGTCCTTTCCCTCATCCATTTCGTATCAACCTTGTTGTCGCTTCGCCCACACCTGCATCATTCTGTCCTCCTTAATGCATCTGCATATCGGTTTTTCATCCGCCATCTTTCAGACATTAATATTCTGTTGCTACAGATCCGCCAGAGCGCCAAGCAGCTGTTTCTCCTGGCCGAGAACTTCTCCGGCCACAACAGCTCTATCCCCGCTACCGGATACGAGTCCATCAACGAGCATGCCTTAGCCACCGACGATGACATCCGCCTCATGTCCCGGCTCTCGCACGGCATCGCCCGTGACATCAACGAAATCAAGTCCTTGAGGAGGGATGACCCGAGCGCGGCTAAGCAGAGATTGCGCGGAGGAGGCCAACAACAAGTCACTTCCAGAAACGACGCACCAAGCCGTGGTGCTCAACCCGGCCATCGGCCCCGTCACAAAGTCGAGTTTGCCTGCCACAAATGCCACCGTGTCGACACCCCCGAGTGGCGGCCTGGCCCGGACGGTCCCAGCACTCTTTGCAACGTCTGCGGGCTGATATACGCCAAAAGAGAACGCAAAAAGGGCGACTCGACGGTGCCAACATTCGGATCCCACCAAATTTCTTGAACATTTTCTTTTCTTTTTTCTTCTTTTTTCTCTTTCCCCTCATACCATACTGATCACTTTGAGCGAGTCGATGGACATAAGAAGCGAGACGTGTATATCAAGAGAAGTTTTAGAGGTTGACCCTCCATCGATATTGGATACCAGGGAACATGCGGAGCTAAAAAAAAATGGGAGCGGCGTTGAGGACTGCTATTAGGCAATGATACCCAGCACGCCAACAAGAAAGATGGGGTATTTTTTTGATTTCTGGGGCAACGATTTTAGACTGCTTTTTGGCGCAATGATGGATCATGAATATACCCGACAAGAATCGAGCCCAACTTTTATACTGGACCCTTCGTCGTCTGACACGATTGCACTTTGCCCAGCCGAGACGACCTATGTCCTGCCACTGAACCCCACCGCTAGTCTGTTAGCATCGAAGTGTGCCATGCCTCCCAATGCTTGCCGCACATTGTCGTTGAACTGAACCACGGGCTCGCCCGTGTCTAGCCATCGACACCGAGTGTACGAGTATTACCCTGCCCGCATCCAACACTTTGCAGGATCCTATTTTTGGCCGACAGAGGGCGGAATGCCCATCCCGCCCGGCGCTAGTCCCCTCGCACCCCTTATGCGGTTACCGCAGTGCGGATGGCCCGGGACTAGAGAGCAAATGAGCAAAGCGGCACAGTCTCTCCAGATGTTTCCGCCGAGCCGCCCCGGGGATGCGGGGGAGAACGAACACGGCAGATCAGCCAACACCCCTCCATGTCAGCCCACCTGGGAGGGGAGCCCTCCAATCCACCAGGACCAGCGACGATGTCACTGGCTGAACCGTTCGGGAGCCGACGTTGCATGCATCTGCCAGGCTGCAGCGAGGATTCTCGTATTCCCCAGATCATGTCTTGAACTCATGACCATACTGCACACCAACATTCCTCCCTGGGGGGAGGGGACGATCCATCTTTCGTCGTCCGTCTATCGTATCCGCCTCGAGAGCACGCGTTCATATTGCCGTCATACACTGTCGCTGGGCATCATCACGTTGTCTCTCTTTAATTTGAACCCCCCCCCCCCCCCCCTCCGCCTTCCTTGGCGGTTGTTAGAGTGGTCCTGGGAATGCCGTCAGGAGAACTTGTGCGTGGCCTGCTCCCAAGCTCGATTGGGGAAGAATCGTGACACTCGTTGATCGACGCTCGTATTGGGATTTCTTGTTCCCCACGGCCGTCGCCCGATGACGAATCATGCTCCTGAGGGAGGGACGCAACGACGGCTTCGGTGGCATGCCTTGAAGGGACGGTGATTCAAGAATGGGGTATATAAACCGAGGGATCAAGTCACTACTCGTCTTCTTGGAGCCATAGTCATCAACCAACCAAACCATCCAAGCCTTCGACATCCCGCATCCCAAGATCCAAGACAAACCGTCCCTCCACAAACCCATCAAATCGCTTTAAGCACTTCAGACTTCCCATAAGTAAAAACCACCACCACCTTAAAAAAACAAAAGAAATGCAGCTCAAGACCCTCCTCCCCGTCCTCGCCGCGGCCACGCCGATTGCGGCCCTCGGCAAGGCCACCGTCGTGAACAACTGCGCGGCCGAGGTCTCGGTCTGGTCCGTGGGCAGCGACGTGCTCGCCGCGGGCCCACTCGCGGCCGGGGGCGGCACCTACGCCGAGACCTTTGCCCGGGACCCGGCCACGGGTGGCCGCGCGCTCAAGGTGACGAGCGCGCGCGACGGCCTGTACACGGGCGCGCCGCAGCTCGTCTTCGCGTACACCCTGGACGCTGGCGGCGGCGCCGTGTGGTACGACCTGAGTACCGTCTTCGGGGACGGCTTCAAGGGGAGCAAGGTCGTCGTCGCGAGCCGGCAGACGACCTGCCCGGCCATTGTGTGGGAGGGCGGCGTGAGCCCCGGCGGCAGCCAGGTCAAAGTGTGCACGGCGGAGCAGGATGTTGTACTGACGCTTTGTGCTTGAGATGGTGGCTGGTGAAGAAGGGTGGAAGGAAGGTAGAAAGCTCGGAGGGGGGGGTGGGATGGGTAGTTCAGCTGGCGCCCCGGGAGACGGATATGGAGATCGGCTGATTCGTATAGGAAGCAGACTGTTCTTGTTTCGACTTCCGGCGTGGATTTTCTCTCTGAAATCTGTATGCTGTTCCCCAATGACGATGAGGAGGAAATAAATGTCTATGAGTTGACAGATATCAATCCCCAGCTTAGTTCACAGAACAAAAGAGAAAAAAAAGAAAAGCCTAGAATATGGCCCGAACTTTTCGACTGACTTGGCTTCTAGTCGCTAATTTGCCTACTAAGGTGTTTGTGTCGACCTGTGCCGTACGTACGAAGAACCAAACGGGCATTGGGACAGATCTTGATGCTCTCAGTCTATTCTCTGCTCTGAAGCAGATTCTCGTCGACGAAGAAGACATCGGTTCAGGGTCTTGAGTCTGTCAGAGGGAGGACAAATAAGGCCTGGGATCTGTGTAGGAAAGCGGGTAGGGTGTCATAAATGTAGTAACGTGACAGTTTTCTTTTACAAAGATAACATAACTCTCTGCAGCAGTTTGGAAAACTTTGTCATCTGCATTCCAGTTGTCGCGCTCCAAAAGCCACGCGATAGATAACATCTGCCGGGCTGTCCACCAACCCTCGCTATGTGTGCTGGTCAAGATAAATCTTTGTACGTACCTTTGATTGTTATTCCAAAGACTGATTCACGTCTTGATCACTTGTCTGATCTCTCATATCGCCAGGTCAAGTAGGGGACCCAGCATCTCTTCCAAGCCCTCCCTGCTCCTTCCCCACAATCACTCTTTTTGTTGTTCTTTCCCAAACCAGGACGTTTTATCTTTCCAATTCCAACACAATCTGACGTCTTTTCTTGATTGTATGCCTCAACATAGAAAGACCTGTTGCTATGGTTCTTTTCCTTGTCTCCCAAGCTCTGCCTCGTCCTCCATCCAAAAGTCCTCCTTCGTTACTCACCTCTTACAACATCTCCTTCCACACAGATCCATTCGGTCAGAGAAGGCTGTCACAATAGCTCTTCAACACACCCTCTAGCCTCGTCGAGGACTGTTTTCCCAGGAAACGACCGCTTCCCCTTCAGCACGCGTTCGAGGGCCTGCCCTTCCCTCCTGCAACCGCGACCTTCTTCCTACTGCAAGCCATCTTCTTTCACTACGCCCACGTGGCCTACCTCTCCTCTTGCAACATCTCCACACATTCATTCGCCACACAACTCTCTTCTCCCATCCAGGCTCGTGCCTGCTTCTCTTCTTCGCCCTACGCCTCGCAGCAAAGGCTCATCGAGCAGCTCGGCTTTCCATCCACACCGAGCCGTCGTGCTTGATCTGCCTCCTCCCATAACGGTAAGCACCTTCCATTTCCTTTCTTCAATAGACCGCGGTCACCGCGCATCATCAGCTCGGCAATCTTGGCTCCATTCCTCTCACACGCGCTATACGGGCCGATACTTCCGTTTTTGAGTCAAGCTTCTATTCTTGAATTTATACCGCGAGTGTATTTTCCTCTCCATCATGTTACGTCGCAACGCTGACTCATTTTATTCTGCCAGAAACAACCGTTTCTGCATTTGGCTCGACTGAAGCCGTTAACATGGAAATCATCCACTTATCACACAGTATGCTCTGATCTCTTCTGCCCTGCCGACGTCGCATTTATCATGGCCTCCGCCTGATGATCAAATCTTCGCAAGACTTCTGAAACCTCGCGTCTTTGAGCGACTTTTATCCTTTCTCTGAATCGACCTCCCCTCTCTCGCCGTCTTCTCCTTCGTGCTGTTGCAGAGCCTATCGCTAAGTTCTAAACCTGCATACAGAGCTTGTTGACTATTAATACCCCGACCAAAAATTCGTGGAAGCTGTTGTTACAACACTTGTGGCAAGTCAATGCATTCTCTCTCTTATCACCGTCCTTCGTCGCTGTTATGACATCCGTCTGCTTTGCATGATGAACAGATTCCCCAGTGCATCTGAGGCCCCGTGCCCCTGATCAACTAACGGTATCATTTTGAGTCAAATTTCTCCCTTCCCTGGTCACATACCATTCATCACGCTGTGTTGCCAAGACTTATACTGACCCCAAATTACATTGCTAGGATCCCAAGCTTCTACCAAGTCCTGGTCCTGAAGATTACCCCTCTAGTTGAGACGTTGCTTCTACGTGGTAAGCCCCTTCTGCTTTTCCTCTGTCTCTTGTTCCGAGGCTCTATGATCGCTTGCCTTGCGACATGTGCTTCTCATGATGATCAGGATTGTGACCGATCAAGACAAGTGTCAATGAAGGATTTATGGTATCTTCTGGCCACATCTTCCCCTTTATCTCGTCCACTAATTCAATCGACCCAGGTGCAGCTGCTAATGATTGCAGCTTCACAGACCCCGAACTGGCCACATCTTACCGACTCTGTCCCGAGCTTGTCGTAGTAAGTCACTCAAGCTGCCACATGCTGCGTGCTACCCTATCTTACTCTCGTATCGGTTCCGGCGTCTTGTCTGGCGAGTTTGAGTGGCTTGCACACTCCGTCTGATCGATCTTTCCTCTTGCTTTCGGTTGCTTATACTGATTCCCTCCCCATAGCCACCTTGTGGGCAATCAGCTTACGAGACAGCCCACCATACTGTGCAACTCACCCTGCTTTCGTTTGCGAAGACTGGGCCCAACTGGGTAAGTTCGCCAGCCCTCTCTATCTCTAGTCTTTATACGCCATTGTTGCCTCCGAGACTACATGGAAGCCTCACATGATGACCATGCCCTTGGTCAAAATCCGAAGCACAAGACCTTCAGCGACACTTCCATCGATCAGTCTTCTGGTAGAACCTTTCCATCATGGCATCCTGCTCCCGACGCCAAAAGTCCCGTCGGCGTCTTTGGTCAACGCGTTAACCTTGCCCCCTATTTACCAGAATTCACATTCCAAGCTCCTACCTAATCACGGTCTCTCTCCCGGTGAGCTTCCTGTTTCCTTCCACCCCCCTTCATGCGATCCAAATGGCGTCCGCCGCGTATGATGACAAAACCTCTCGCTTAGACCGAGACTCGCATTTCCGTGAGCGACAAGAACTTGCAGTAAATCTGAAACAAGCCTTGTTGTGGTCTTCTTATTTCCCTTGGCCCGGAATTCGCAGAAAATCTTGACTAACCTCCTACCTATCCAAAGACCTCGCATACCTATCGCAGCCAAATTCCCACATCAAGCGCCCGGTATGTCCGACAGCAAGCAGCACTGGTCCAATCTCGGGACCATAATGGACACCGCCCCTGTCACGCTGTCCGACATGTATGGCATGTTCCATGATGCTGTTGCGAAGCATTACCGGGAAACCGGCGAGAGTGCGTATTTCTGATGACACCCCTTTTCCAACCGTCATACACGCAATCAAATATGAAGACAAAATGCACTTCATACTGACTGACATTGCACCTGATCATAGCCGTCACGTACACCTACATTAACGTTGTCAAGGCGTATGTCGACTGGTTGATGTGTAAGTGCTTATCCCACCCCCTTCATCCGCTGGTATGCACCAGTATCGAACTGTAGACTCGATGCTGACTTACTGCCCTGAACAGGGTGGCGAGCGTGCGTGTTCGCCCGCCTCAACAATCAGCCGCTGCCGACCTTTCCAGAGGACTGATCACTCATCAGGACAAGAAAAGAAAAAGGACATGGGGAGCACCGAAGATGTCAGAAAAAGTACACGTTGTATGGTGGGCAGGCCGTGGTAGGGGCTTTTGAACAGACCCCGCGTCACATAAACAAATCCCATAGTCACTGTGAGGTTCCGAGCTACCATGGATAATGTCTCAACAGGAGTTTCTGGAAATACAAGTTGTGGCCAGACCAAGGGCACTGCCTGCAATCTATGTATATAGGGATGATTCGCTATTCAATGGCAAACATTCTTATCAACTCAACAGCTAGTCTCTTTGAGGAGGACCAATATATACTGTGTCGGCCAAGGATCGTAATGCAGCAAGTGTGTTGTGTCACGTCAGTGGCTAAAAAGGTTCTTGAAATCTCGCCTGCATCGTGGCAGGCGTCTTGAATATTTATTTTACAAGTACAAGATACATTGAGGAGATGCATTTCATAATACATGTCTAAGTCTTCGTCACAGGGCAATCCGTCTCCATCTATTGGTATACAAAAGGAAAAAAGGAAAAAGAAAAGAAAATCTATCATGAAATGAATGTCGGCCAGCCAGACAGTCCCTACTCATACTTAGAGGAGAGCAGCAATAACCACGCCGGCTACGGCAGCAAACATGCCAGAACCAAGGCGATCAGCTGCGTTGCCGCTGACCTGCACGGGAGTAGACAAGGTCCTGGTAGGAGCGGCAACGGGAGTGATGGTAGTGGGAGGAGAGCCAACCGGGTGAGAGCTAGCTGTAGATGGTGAAGGACCAGCCGAGGGGGGAAGTTTAGATAGGGGAGAGTAGGTTGGGGGGGTTGCAGCCGTAGGAGCGCCAGGCGGGGAAGCTCCAGAGGCAGAAGCTCCAGAAGGAGAGGAGCTAGCTCGGGCAGAACCGGCCGGAGGAACGCCTGCCGGGGGGAGTCCTATCGGGGGAAATTGGGCTGGGGGGAGTTCAGATGATGGAGAGGAATTCGGGTGAGATCCAGCCGGAGGAGCGCCTGCTGGGGGGAGTCCTATCGGGGGAAATTGGGCTGGGGGGAGTTCAGATGAGGGAGAGGAATTCGGGTGAGATCCAGCCGGAGGAGCGCCTGCTGGGGGAGCTCCAGATGGGGTGGAGTAAGTTGGGGGAGCTCCATACGGAGGGACACCTGCCGAGGGGAATCCTATCGGGGGGAATTGGGCTAGGGGAAGTTCAGATGGGGGAGAGGAAGTTAGGGGAGACCCAGCCGGAGGAACACCTGCCGGAGGAGAGCCAGCTGAAGAAGAACCGGCCGGAGAGACGGCCGCCGGAGGAAACCCTATCGGGGGGAATTGGGACGGGGGGAGTTCTGACGAGGGAGAGGAATTCGGGGGAGATCCAGCCGGAGGAACACCTGCCGGGGGAGAGCCAGCTGAAGAAGAACCGGCCGGAGAGACGGCCGCCGGAGGAAACCCTATCGGGGGGAATTGGGACGGGGGGAGTTCTGACGAGGGAGAGGAATTCGGGGTAGATCCAGCCGGAGGAGCACCTGCCGGGAGAGCTCCAGACGGAGAAGAGCTAGCTGGAGAAGAGCCGGCCGGAGGAACGCCTGCCGGAGGGAATCCTATTGGGGGGTATTGGGCCGGGGGAAATTCAGACAGGGCAGATCCAGCCGGAGGAGCGCCTACCGAGGGGGCGGGTTGAATCTTTCCAGGAGGAGTCGGTTGGGTTCCCGACGAGGGTCCAAATTGAGAGCTGACAAGAAGAGCAGACTGAGTGTTTGCCGAAGGAGTGCCTACAGGCGGCACAAGAGGTGTGCTGATGAAAACAGGGCTAGCGATGGTGAGGGTTTGCGGCCCGCTTTCAGTGACGGGGCAAATGGTTGTATAGATGGGGATCACCTCAGTGGTAATACGGGGAGTGGGAACGCAGCCAGGTGTATTACCCTGACAAGCAGTGACAGTATAAATATTGGTAGTGTAGACAATAGAGGTAGTCCAGGACGTCGGTAGGGCAGCAGGTGGCGAAAACGCAGGCCCGGTTGGGCCCTTGTTGACAGGACATACCGTCGTGGAAATTGCAAAGGTCCTGGTCGTAATGTAAGGTTGGTCGGAGCACCCTGGGGTGGATGACGCGCACCCAGTGACCGTCTCAACACGGGTCGTGTAGATGGTAGAAGTAGTCAGCTCATCCGTCGGAATAGGAACCACGGGCTTGTTGGATGTCTCAATGACAGGGCACACGGTCGTATAAACAGCAATAGTCCTGGTTGTGACATAAGGTTGACCGGTGCAGTTAGGAAAAGATGGCAGGCACCTTGTGATGGTCTCCACACGGGTTGTGTAGATGGTGGATGTAGTCATCTTGGTCGTTGGTATGGTGTTTAGGTTGGTTGTGACGGGCCTCTCAGACTCCTCCGTCAGGGGGCAAATGGTAGTTGAAACGGCAATCGTCTGGGTAGTGGTGATGGGACTGAGAGTACAGTCAGGGACATTAGGAGCGCATTGAGTGAAAGTCTTGACCTGAGTTGTGTAAATAGTCGAGGTGGTGAACTTGGTAGAACTATCAGTCACGGGGTAGGTGATGGTCGTCTCAGAAACCACGGGAGTGCTCGTCGCAGTAGTCGCAGGAGTGCTCGCCTCAGTAGTCGGAGGAGTGCTCGTCTCTGTAGCCACGGGCGTGCTTTCTTCAGAATAAAAGCTGGACACCGTGCTGCTTGACCCCGTGATACTACTGACGGCAGTCGATGGGAAGCTTACTGCCGAGGTAAGAGAAATGAAAGTAGCTGCTGTAGTGCTTGAGTCGCTGGCGCTACTGATGATGGGGGAAGTGCTTGTCTTGGAGGTAGTAAACAATGTGTTGCTGGTGGCAGTTGATGAGGGGCTTGTTACTGAAGAAACGGAGGTTGTGGTGGTCGACGTGCCACTTGAGGATCCGGTACTAATAGCAGGTGGAGAAATGCTCGCTACAGAGGAAATGGAAGTAGTTGAGGATGATAAGCTGCTAGCCGTTGACGAGGTGCTTCCCACTGAAGTAATAGTGGTAGACAATGTGCTGCTGGCAGTGAAAGAAGAGCCTGTTGTAGAAGATGCAGTAACAGTCGAGGAAGCGCTGGTATCAGAGGTCGTGGAGGAGATGCTGCTAGTGGTTGAAGAAACAGAGGTTGTTGGGACCGATGTGCTGCTGCTTGAGTCTGTAGTGCTGCTGGCAGTAGACGAACTGCTTGATGTAGAGGATGTAGTAGACAATGTACTGCTAATAGTTGAGGAAGTACTAGAGGTTGTAGACAGTGTAGTGCTACTTGAGTCTTTAGTACTACTAGTAGTGGAAGATGTAGTTAATGTAAAGGATGTAGTAGATAATATACTGCTGCTTGAGCCTGTAGTACTGCTAGAAGTAGAAGACGTGCTTAATGTAGAGGACGTAGTAGACGATATACTACTGCTTGAGCCTGTGCTGCTAGCAGTGGAAGACGTTGTTGATATAGAGGACGTAGTAGAGAATGTACTACTGCTTGAGCCTGTGCTGCTAGCAGTGGAAGATGTGGCTGATGAAGAGGACGGAGATGACGTGGTAGACAATATACTGCTGCTTGAGTCTGTGCTGCTAGCAGTAGAAGGCGGTCTTGATGAAGGGGTGCTTGATGAAGAGGACGTAGTAGACAATATGCTGCTGCTTGAGTCTGTGCTGCTAGTAGTAGAAGGCGTGCTTGATGAAGGCCTGCTTGACGTAGAGGACGTAGTAGACAATCTGCTGCTGCTTGAATCTGTGCTGCTGGCAGTGGAAGAAGTGCTTGATGAAGAGGATGTAGTAGACGATGTGCTGCTTGATTGTTGGCTGCTGCTGACGACAATGGACGAGGTCGAGGTGGTCCAGACAACTTCAGTTGTGCTGACAGTGGTGGACGGGGCTGTTGTGCTGGTGATCCACGAGGAAGAAGTGCTGGTGATCCACGAGGAAGAAGTGCTTGTGGTGACGGGAACGGTGTGAGTTAAGGTGTAAGTGACACAGGAGCAGGCAGACGAGACGGCCTTGATATCATTGTCGCAGTTGCCGAAGTCTGTAGGGATGGCAGCCGGGGCGGTGGTGGTTCCATTCAGGAATTCAACACAAAAGACGTTGGCTTCATGCTTGAAGCGGTCGTCGACGAGGTTCCTGTAGCAGTTGTCGTATTCCTGTAGTATCTCGTCAGTCAGATATCTTTGAGCGGGACGGCCCGCAGGCATGGTCCATGTCGACATGTAGATCAAAGAAAGACATGAAAAAAGAGAAAAGGTATACGGGCTAGAGTGTTGCATAAGAGGGAAACATACGCAGTCGGGGTACTGGTTGGCGTTGACGGACACCAAGGCAATGGCACCTAGTCCGATGTAAAGGCCACGCATGTTGACTGTGGTTTCTCTTTCCAGAAGAGAATGGGTATAAGGCTAGGAACCGAGAAGCTGCTTCTAGAGCTTGAGCATGAGATGGTTGTAATGAGAAGAGGATTGGGATGAGAGAGAAAAGGATGAACAGACTGGGCGCGGTGGGTTAGTATTTAATGGAATCAGACGACGATGAGGCCGTATAGGAGGTTGTTGGTTGCCTTTAGAGCTAGAAAGCCGTAGGATCCACCACCCATACACACAGCCATCTATCTCATCATACTAGGGCGCGCAGCCCCTAGTAGCCAGGAGCCGGAGTCGCAGATGGGTCGCGGTAAGGTTGCTTGTTGTTACCCGTCACCCATGACGGCACAAAGACAGCTTCGAGCGGATCGGGCAGCAATAGTGTACGAGTTGGCAGACTGGATTGCATCATAGGTAGGTAAGAACCGGCGATGGTCACCGGGGGGTTGCGGCGGTGATCTAGCGGGGGCGCTGTCGAGACGTCTCAGATCACACAGGACAACGGCTCGATACTGCTGCCAGTCACTGGTCAACGGTATAGCGGTGTGTGGCTGACTGGCTGGCTTGTCGGGCCCGGGTACATGCAATAGAAGCGGCGGCATCCTCTGCCCGTCCGTACCTGCGCCCATGTAGGGTGCCATGATAGCTTGATGGCGCCTCGAAGACGGCCCACGGAAAAGGCGCTGATAGGGCGACGGTGAAACATGGTGTATGGCCAAAGAAGATACAGTATGGTCGGGGACAGATGACGCGACGGATTCGCATTGATGGTGGCAGAAGTGTGGCCCGGTTGAGGCCGATAATGCTGTGGGAAGAAGTCCGGATGATCGACGAGGACGGGTAGGAGTGGGGTTCTTGGGGTTGGTTCTTTCTCTAACTCCTTCCTCTTCCTTTCCTATCTGGGCTTGGAATGGACAGAGTTCCTAAGTTAACTAGGGGGGCTGTTGCCCAGGCTGTCAAAAAGACTGAGACGACGGCGCGCAGCCCGTTAGGAAAGGGAAGGAAGGCTTAGCCATATCGGGACGGATGGGTGGGGGCATCTTCACCAGTCTAGCGCTAAACTAACTGCCCCATTTGGAATTGGAACGTGCAGGCGCGGGGAACGTCCATCCTGCCTAACTGCTAACTGTCTGGGTGAATATAGGAAAGCACTCCGGCGAGAGGGGCCACCATCATTGGATTGCTCTGCTCTTTCCTCCGTTGACTCTCGGTACGTACAAATTGCACATGGTTTATTATCTTGTGTCAGGAGGCCTAGCACCAGCCGCCAACGAACGGCGACAAGAAAGACGGCGTTTCCGAGCCACCGCATCTCGATTGAAAATGGCATGCGAAGCTTTTGCCCAGCCGCCATCTGCTCCGGGGGGGGGTTGACCGTCGCCCGGTGAGAAGTGGCGCCCGTTTTCCTCCTGATGAAACTCCTCCATCCCCGTTTCATTCCTCTAGGTTGTTCTTTCATCAGTATTTGTGTCTTTTAGGCCCCGATCTGGATACAAGAGAAGCCGATCGATTGTTCCCCCAAGAATTCATCGTTGCTAGCTAGATAGGTATGGCTCGCTCGGGAGGACTGGTTACGGGAAATCTGTCATTGTTCCAGCATCCAATGTGACCCTGGAAAAGCTGCCTTTGTCTTTGAGCCGAGGAAAGGGTTCTTCCCTTGGGGCAATAACACGACAACAGATGCTGCCAGTGGAGTGGTTCTCAGACTTCGCCCGCTTCATTCCATAATATCTTGCTGTATTATACAGGAATAAACCCATCGGGGTGAGGCTCTCTCTCGACTGATGGGACGACCCAATCAGAAGGGTAATATCAATCCGTTTCCTGATCCACAGTGTTGACCTCCGTGGTCAGTGCCGTGTCAGTCATCCCACAAGGCCTGTCTATCAATATTACCATCACCGAGTGGGCCACGCCTCAATCTCTCAAATAGCTTCTTCAGTCGCTTGGTGTGAGCACATTCCATGGAAATCACGACCATTAGCCCTCCTGTCCCTGTCTAGTAGAATAATATCAACTTGGCCGTGCTCCTCGTAAGGCTGACCCAGCCCCTTGACACACCTATCAAGAAAGCCGCCACGGCCGTGTCCACCTTGGAATCCACCAAGGTAAAAATATCGACTGGTGCTATCAGATTAGTCGCAGCAAATCTTGTGACGTCACTGACTTCCGCGTCCCGGCAGCCGTGCGGCGCTAAGCTGGCCAGGCTGGCATCACTGTTTCCCAACCAATATGGCCATATCTAGCCCACAATGTGCACTCATTCGGGGCCCTCAGGTTCATCTCCATTGCCTCCTGGGAGACCAGACTGTGAAACCATCAGATCTTTTTCGTCACTCTGCGTCTGCCCTTTTTCACAATCCAACCTTTCGAGTAGTCTTCTCCTGGTCCTGGCCGCTCGTTTGGCCTTTCTTTTAGACTTTGACTGACCTTTTGCTTCTTGATGGGCTTCGTGTTGAGGTTCTTCTATTTGCTAAATCCCCCCCTCAGGTCAATGACTGAGGTACCTGTGCTATGGCTCCAAGTAGGTGCAGCAACGCTTTATTGCACTATCCTAGCAAGCAGCGCTTAGTATTGAATACTAATATTATAAGTAGTACTTATAGATAATAGTAAGTATTATTTCTAGTAGTATGTAGGTTTATAAGGTATTTTTACTGCTTTAAGTAGCTTCCCTAAGCTATACTAATTATATAGCTTAAGAGGAGATTATACAGCCTTTTTAGTATTGATAACGTAAACCAATCAAGTTAGGAGATGGAATTAGAGATGCTAAAGAGTCTTGAGGTCTAAGTGTGTACTATAAAGGACAAGAACGTAGTCCCTCTTTGATAGTAGAACATCTACTCTCGATTTAAGCTTGGTAATGCTGATAGGTCTTTTTTTCCCCCTAGCTAGCCGGCCGGCCGGCACCCACCCATTCCTTTGTTCAACCCTGCGCCCGCGATTCGCTGTTTCGGCCCAAGACAGGCGCCATCCTCTTTCCAAGACCCGTGCTTCCGACTAGATAACTTCATCGTTTCCTTTCACATTCGAACCGTCCTAAAATTAGGAGATACTTTTGTCATCCTGCGGGTCGCCTTGTTTCCGACGAGGTGTCCCCTTCGCCTTCCAACGGGTTGGAAAAGGCTCAAAGAAAATCAAGTCCTTGGCCTAGTAGTCGTTTAGGCTCAGATAGCTTGGTCTGATCAACCGTTGCTTTCTGCTAGGTCTACTCCGTACTCGGAGTCAAATCGGGATTTTGAAGTTGTATCAGGGCCAAATATCGCCGCATTCCCGGACTCTGACGTCACAATGGGCTTAAGGCAGGTGTGGCTTTCGAACAGGCCCTAGTGACCTTTGGAAGAGAAAGAAAGACTGCTTAGCATGGAATGCACGATACACCATCATCGCAGAATTATGTTGCAGACCAATTTCTATATATATTACATGACAGCCAGGGAGGGTTGTCAACAACTTTCCATCGGACGAACCCTGGGCCCGCGTACTAATAGCTGGAAGCAAGGACAGAGACGTCACATGCCGTGCGCTGACGTTTTCCTGTCTTATAGGCTAATGACCATTCTAAGCCGTGATAGGATAAGCAGGTACGCAGGGTATCTTGGCAGACCAGATAGGCCTCGAGCTAGACGTAAAAGCGGCCGATCCTCCAATAAGCAGTGTATGCCCGGCGGTCATACTGTTGAGTCTGCGCTGCTTTAATCTGCCTTGTCCACCTTCAGAGGAACTAATTATCAACCTGTTTGCCTATGGCGACGAGGTAAGGTCGATGATGTCGCTTGGGGCAGATGAAGGGATTACATGGCTGGGCACGCCCGCCTCCTCGGCCGAGACCATCAACGAGTCCCCCCTCTCCTCGTCCCGCGCCAAGTCCCCGCCGCCTTCAACAGGAACCTCGCCTTCATGCTTGCTCACCCTCCATTCTCCACTGCATGGATTGTACCCGAGCAAGTACACGGCCCCCGACTTGCCCTCGCCGCCGTACGCCTGCACAATCTCCAGGTTCGGCTCGCCATAGTGGCCCATGAACTCCAGCTCGAGCTTCACCTCCATTGGGCCCTCCGCCTCGGCCCACAGCCGCAACCATCTTCGTGCCCACGGCCTCGGGGATCGTGCAGGCCGGCGGGACGGTGAGGGACGAGCCGAGGGCGAGGCAGAGGTCCGCCTTCCGGGCGTGGTCGCGCGCCAGCCGGAGGGGCTCCGCGGGGAGGTACTCGCCAAAGTTGACGATCGTATCGAGGAGGGTCCCGCCGCAGACGGCGGCGCACTTGCGGCCGGTGCGGTGGTCGTGCACGGTCTTCTCGTAGGTTGCCACGGCGCGGAAGTCTACATGTGCAAAATTGTTAGAGCATTTTGTCTCGGAGATCCAAGAATTCAAACGTGCCATGAAGGCAGGTTCAATCATGGATGTGATGAGCTTTCGTACCGCGAATGTACTCCTTGCCGCAATCTTTGCAGTACTCCCTGTTGCTGTTACCGTGCAGCTCTGATATCTTCTCCTGACGTTAAGGAAAGTGTCAGCAGCTGGGACGAGCCAAGGAAAATTTCGAGTCGCGCGAGATTCGCGCAGAGAGCCATCACGGCCGCTTCGACCCTGCCGACGTTCTCGGCCCCGAGGAGGCGGATAAGTTCATGAGCTTCGAGGAGTACTCCGCGCACTGGGAGGTCACGAGCAAGGGCCTGATCGGCAAAACCGATATCAGGGCGATATCGCCCGTACTCCGATATAAAAGTACATAGGGTTAGGGTTAACAAGAGTTTAATGCAAGGTTAAAGATTAATTTGGTGAATGTACTGCTAGGACCCCTGCTACAGCTGGCGCCAGCTGTAGCCTACTGCTAGCGCCTGCCTACTATTCCTAGTGTATACTATTACTAGCGCCTACCTACTGTTAAGTAGGTAGGCGCTAGTAACAGTAGGCAGGCGTGCTAGTAGCAGTAGGTAACAGTAGTACCTGCCTTATTAGTCTATTTCTGACACTTAACCTAAGTCTGGAGCCTGATAACAATTTGTATGGGAAAAGCAGGGGATTTGGCAGAATTGACGTAAAAAAAGTCACTTTCTGCGGTGGTACGTGGCCTACGCCGATATAATTAGGGTTCTGTAATGTAGAACTGAAATCATGATGTACCCTCCTGTTTTTGGCCTAGTGCGGCACGATTTGAGTTTTTTGGTACTTGTGGCTGGTGCTTGGTCCGTGATACCGGTCCTTATTCGAAGTGTCAAATGATATCGGTTTTGCCGATCAGGCCCCAAGTGTGCTGCGGATGCGTACTAAAGATTGCAGAGAACACCGGGTGTAGCACAGCTACAGACTGACCGGGAAGTCGACACAGCGTTGGACGGGTTGGACATCAAGCCTGCCAGTATGCGCGATGAAATGAAGTGGGTGATGCAAATGTATCACAAGGAGGCGAAGGCGCGGTACGACGGCCTCAGACTGGTAGAGGAGCAGTTTTTGCCCCTTGGCGGGATCGCCATGATGCGAAAGAAGACGGTTCGGTGGGGGCTAGTTCTCTGATAACTCGAAGGGCAGTACGTTCTTGGGTGAGGTTGCGTAAAGTAGCACACGAAGGCAGATTTTGCAATTTGGGTATATTATGGCCCATTTCCACTTCCGGTTTCCCATATCCCATATACAAAGGAAACCAATATCGCCCTTGTCATCAAGCGGGACCGCAACGTCGACCCTTCGTTTCCCTTCCTAACATTCATCGGACGTCTGTGTTCCCCGTGATGAAGCAATGCGGAGTCAAGCGCATCTTGGCCACGGGCACCCTCGCTATTAAACGCTCAGCATTGACCATATGGCTTATGAATGCGGTGGATGGCAGAGCCGATACTTGGATGGGCAAGATGCTTACAGTCAGCGATACGTAGCACGCAGAGCTGATGTACACTAGTCATTATATTCTCGTCTTCATATACTCGAACGGTATAGTTGCGTATGGAATACCCAGTCTCTCGCCCGCATTACGTTTGTATCTTATTACTTCCTCGGGTCCCAACCTGCGTCTACATCATCCAAGAGGTTGAGCGACTTGAGCGCATCCGAGCCAAGAATCCTCTCTAGGCTCACCAGCTTGAAGCTAGCCTCAGCACTTGTGCTGCCATCGGGTAACTGATTCGCGTCGTCGTGGGTGACGAAAAGACCGTGAGGGAAGTCATCGCCCAGCCGGGTGCCGACGGCGGTGATGCCGTCGGTGTTGGACACTGCATCGACCTGACCGTCGGAGGATTTGGTGATTGTGAACGTGGTCACGTACTCGTGGGGTTCGGCGCGCCTGTATACGTTGTAGGCGCTGACGCCCTGGTTAGAGACGATCACGTAGCCCTGGTCAGGCTTCGCGCCGTACACCAGGGTGACGCCCTCGACATCGGCGTGCGTCTGACCATCTCCGACGTAGGCAATCAGTAGGCCCGCCTCCCCTGAGTCGGGCTCGGCACCGTACCGCCAGAGAGCTGAAGGCTCCTCGCCCAGGAAGATCCAGCCGTTGTCCTCGTCGGTCACGCATCCCTCTACCTGTCCGCCCGAGCCCCCAGTGAACTCGCGTACCAGTGTCGTTTGGAGTGTCCCGTTGAACGTCGAGGTCAGCTCGTATTGCAGGTAGCGAGCGGACTTTTCGTTGACAAACAAGTACTGCTTGCCGGTCTTGGGAGACTTATAAACACAAGACCCGTAGACGCTGTAATCGGGCACAACAGGCTGAATGCCTCCAGGAATATTCTTGAGCGTGCCGTTTGAAGTCATTTCGAAGAGGCTGATGATTATCAGTCACGGTCTTGGGGAAACCGTAGGAGGAGCAAGTGTGACTTACCAAAGAGTATCATCTCCGCGACAGGCGGCGAAAGCGAGGTCAACCATTCGGCCACCCACTTTGAAACCGTAAATGATATCGACATTGTTGGGCTCAGCGGCGGGGATGGCCTGAAGTAGCTTGCCAGTGAGATCGAAGACACCCAGGCCAGCACCGATCGTAGACTTCGTCGTAGTGATGATGCGGGATTTCTCCGCCGACACGGGCGAAATCCAGATGGCCGGGTCGTCGCCGTCGCCTCCGTTTTGGTCTGTCTCGTACGAAGGCTCGACCAGGAGGAACGAGCAGTGGAGGCCTCCCCACCCATCTTGACATTTGCACTGGTTGGGCCCGACGCATTCGCCGCGTCCGGAGCAGTTGTCGGTACGCTGGAAAATGTCGCATTTATCGCCGGTGAAGCCGGCGAAGCAGCCGCAGCCAGCTCCGTTCGCCTGGCAATAGCCGTTGCTTGAGCAGGCGTCACAGATGGTGGAGCGAGTGCGGCATCCAGCCTGGTCCCGGGGGTCATAAGCGGTGTTGACTGACACTCCTAGCTCGCCGAGTGCACCATCCAGAGATACCAAGCCAAAGCCTTCAAAGTCAGGATCCGCCTCAAGGGAAAAGCCGAGGGCTCCGCTAGGGTACTTGGAGGTAGATCCCTGGAAGAGGCTGAGGCCTTCCACTTCAATGTCCTCCATACCAGTCAATTTGATGCTACCGAGAAGTTGGAACGGGTATTCGTAGACACCGATGCTGTCTTCTTGGGCCACGAACAAATAGTCTAAGCCAGTGGTGTTGGAGACATAGACGGCAATGCCAGTCACATCATCCGGGGCTTCGCCGAGCTTAGTGATTTCGGGCGCAACCGTAGACTCCTTGAGGTCAAAAATGTAAAGGTCTTTGCCATCATCGGCGTTGGCTATCATCTTCGACCGAGATCTAACCACGGCGCAACCTGAGAACTCGGTTGGGATCGCAAAGCTTTGAACCTGCTGAAAGTGTCAACGAATGGTGGGGGGGGAAATAAGGGGTCCGAAACAGGCCATAGATGCTCACCTCAACCAGCTCGACGGAGTCCTTCCCTTGACGAATGAGGTACTGCACAGCCCGGGTCTTTCCAAAGAAATAGACATAGTCGTTCAGACTTTTGCTGCGCCAGGAGCAAAGAGCGGACCAATCCCCGAGCATCGTCGTTTGCGCAGACTCAATTTCGGTGAAGGCCGGTAGTTCGTAGACTCGAATAATGGAATCCGGCATCGCGATCGTGACTGCAAGGTCTTTTCCGGCGACATCGTAGACCGCCGTGATGAGCTTCGTTCGGCCGGTGGTCACCGACTTGACCTCGGAAAGGGGCGAATCGCTGTTCAGGTCCCACGCGTGGAAGCCTCCCGTGGCCGCCTCTTCATCGTTGCCAAGAAGCAACGGCTTGTCCTCGGAATAGTATATGGTTGTCCAGTCCGAATCCAGCTCGCCACCGGTCAGGCTCGTGATGTTGAGCTCCAGGTCGACGGCAGCAGATAGCCAGGGATGCACCGCTACGGCGACGATGGCCGCAGCACAGGTGAGGTACTTGAGACCCATGGCAGCTGAGTCGAGTCGGAAGAAAGCAGCTTGACAAGGCAAGACAGGCAAGCGAAACGCTCGCCAAAGAAAGAGGACCAAACCCCTTATCATGTCATCTTATTCCCACCCGCCCCGGATGGAAAGCGGAAGTCAGTGGGCCCTCGCAACTTCAGCCCCGAGGACGATGCGCGAAAGGAAAGCTAGAAAATGGTTGGGTGCCGAACGTTCTTCTGCTCATTTACGGGACAAACTCGAGTGGAGCAAGGCTGTGTGCGAAATGGAAATCTTTGGGGTCCCCTTCGAGTGAAACATGTGGTGAAAAGGGGGGAGTCGATTGGTGGTGCATTGCGTTTCCACTCCGGGAGATGACCGTCTTGGCAACAGGACGTGGATGACTGACGGGCGTAAATTTCTTATTAGATCACCGGACGAATGAGCGTCTCTCTTTGCCCGGCTGGCACCCAAGTCAATTCCTGCGTCAGCTCGATTCGCACAGCAATTGTATCGAGTAGTGTTAATTTTATATAATTAGGCGATTTGGTATTTTCCTATATCTCACTGCTTTCAGCAGGAAATCCACTACAACAGCAACAAAATAGGCCTATCCACAAAATCTTAATGTACTTTAAGATTGTAGTACTAGAGGCAAAAAACAAAAGGGATAGTCTTGGCCTATCTCAACCCAGAGCGCGGCGTAGGAATCAGGATGGGATAGACCATTCCAACCCTCCCCGGCGGAGCCGTTTTGTACCTTAGGGGAGGCGGTACTTTCGGGGGCAAGGGCTAGTTGTGGCTGCGTGGCGAAGCTACCGAAAGCGGTTAGATACGTTGAAATACCAAATCGCCTATGTACGTCAAATTAACGCTCCTCAATCCAACCCTCCCTAGCGGAGCTGTTTAAGAATTAAAACTAAGAGTTAAGAATTAAACCTAGCAGAGGAAGGTTTATACTCTACACCTTATAGGAGGTAGTACTTTCGTGAGAAGGGGCCTATTGTGGCTATGTGGCGAAGCTGCCAAAAGAGGTTAGATATGGGAAAATACTAAATTGCCCATGTAAAATCAACGCTATCCGTACTTGATTGTATTATGTCCCTGGCGCAGCGCCTGAAACTGCCGAAACATTTCCGTTTTCTACCTTCATCCACTAAGTGATTGGTTCACTTGATCTGGTTTCCCCGTGGGCGCGCTTAGATCTCGTCGTGGGCTCCCGGGGCAGGACTAAGCTGGCATCTTTCCAGTTATCCACCCATGCAAGTAACTCGATAATTGTAAGAACCCTGAGAACTGGATTCCTCTCCACCTCCCCCTTCTGTCCCTATGAACCTATTACCTTGTGGGGTGGGAGACTTCTAGATGCTCTATAGGCCGATCGACGCTAAGCACAGTGGATGGGAAGCCACAGACACCAGGATATGCCTAGCAATCAGATTACCACACTCCCATGGAGAAGTCTTGGATTGATACTGCGGACACTCCAATTAATATTACTCTGCTCGGTAAAATCTCCACGAGGAAGTAAGTAATATTTATGTCTTTCAAACCCCCTTCAATTCTCACGATAGGCAAACTCAATCAGTTGAGTTACTCAAATTGTGGCATTTGTCTTCAAGTTTGTGAATGATCATACGCTGGCGTTGTAGTAATACTTGAGGTAATGAATCACGGTTTCATTTTCGTTCTCTTTGAACTTTGATCACGGCAATGGACCAAGTATATAAGGTAAGGTCTAATCAACGTGGCGTTATGGGGCTTATACAGTTCTCAGTGTTGAGGGGGCGACGACCTTTCATTCTAGAATATCTGTATGGGTAGAGCTACATTTCAAATAAAATCATAGGTTAGGATTTAGCATTGGGAACCAAGCTTTGAGCCCGGCTTTCCGTGGAAACTCATTTCCATGTTACTTGCTGTTTCAGGCCGTTTTTCTGGGGGTAAGGAAGACCTTGAGAGGCCCCTTCTCCCACAGCGTGTACACTTGACTCTGTTCATCCCATCCTCTGCTCTCATCGGCTAATCTCAAGTCAAAGTTGAAGAGAACTCTTGCGAGAATAAGACGCATTTCCCCGTAAGCCAAGCTTAAAGATAGGTCGTAGTCAGCATGGGCATTTTTATGAATCAAAGCATACGCGGAACACAATGCAAAATGGATACCACTTACTTTCTCCCAATGCAACTCCTCGGCCCCACTGTGAAAGGCTGAAGCGCTTCCTTCTTGTCGCCTGCAAAGCGAGGATCGTCAAGCCAGCGCTCGGGGATGAACGAATCAGGCAGAGCGAAATTTGCAGGACTATGATACATGGCCCAATGCCAAACATGGACAATTGTCTTGTTGCACGTGTTAGCGACTCCTGTTTGTATTCGTCGCAAGCTGAGTTGATGATTTGACTTACGTCAGGAGGCACATATTGGCCCAAGAAGACACCGCCGTCGCTCTTCACTCTGCGCGGTATTCCACTCGGGGCCGGGGGGTACATTCTTAAGGCCTCGTTTATCACGGCATGCATATAGACAAGCTTCTGCGAGCTAATCATGTCGATATCGGCTTCGGATGTAAATGTGTTGCGAATCTCGTCACTGGCCTTTTTCAGAGCATTGGGGTTTGTCAAGAGGTAGTACGTCATAGCCGAAAGCGCTGTCGCGGTAGTCTCGGAACCAGCAGTGATGAGTGTCGACGAATTGACCTTCAACTCGTCGAAAGTGAGTGCCTGTGGTATCTTAGCAATTTCATATCTTCAGCTAGCGGAATTTTCCATACCTCTGAGCCCCTCTTTCGCAACATGGAATCCATGAAGTCCGGTCGCTCGGTCTTGGCTGCAAGTCGTTTCTTGACTTTTTGCTCCGTCATTGCGAAATGCTGTGCGCGCTTTCTTATGAGTTCGGCCGGCACAAATTTCATCAAGATTTTCGCAGCCCAGGGGAATCGTCGCATGGTTATGGCGACAGAACCCGCCTTCACGCTGTCGAAGATTAGCTGGACCCATGGATGGTAGTCTGCATCTTCCAAACAATGGAAAGACTCTCCGAATGCCAAGTCGCCGATCACGTCGAAAGTGGTCCAGTTGTACCATGAGACCATATCCAGAGCGTTGGATCCCCCAGCACAGTTTTCGTGAAGCCTTTGAATCATGAGGTCAATATAGGCTATGATGATTGGCTGCTGTTCCAGCATTGTCTGTGCTGCGAAGCCATGTGATAAGGCCCGGCGGAAACGAGTGTGATCCTCGCGGTTGGCGCCGATAATGCCGTGCTCCATACCCCGGATGAACACGGGATCTCTGCCATGATCGCCGGTGTTATTCTTCACGTGACCGTGTATATCTTTGAAGGAGTCGGGGTGATTGAAGACAAGCTCGTCAGGGGCGACCCTTACGACGGGACCGTATTCCTGGTGCAGCTGAAGAATCTTGCGATGCAACTGGCCGGAAAGAGCGCTGCGGGCGAGAGGTATCCTTGTGGCGGCCCATAGCTTGGGGCCAGGATAATTGCACAATGGGTGGAAATAGACGTTGTAAACAATGGTCCCGAAAACGTAGGCAAGAGCCTATGAGTTGTCAGCCTCAGTGACACCAAACGGCTTTGAGACCGATGACAGATGATCGGCCGACGTGGCCAAGGTTTAGAGCCACACTTACTAAAAACAAAAATCCAATCAAAGCCAAGAGAGCCATGTTGAAGTTGACAACATGGCTCACAAAGCCTGTGTGAGCCGCCATGATGTTCGTGGCCAATAAGCGGGTCAATCAAAGATCAAGACAATACTAGGATGATTGCAGACACAGTGAACTTGAAATTGACCCCAACACACACAACAATCGAATGCGCGGGAGCATCTTTATCAAGACTAACGAGGATAGAGGGGTTCGGATCTCGTTTTAAGGTCCCCAAACCCGATGCCCCTGTTATTAAGGTGTCGTAAACCTGCATACCGTATTCGTATTCTCTTAAGAAACCGACATTCCCCTCTTTTCCGGGCTAACAGTATAGAGTACTCCGTATAGTGGTTGCTAAAAAGGGCCTGGCGTACTAGCAGAAGCAGGGATCTCAACTCTCCCTTCTATTTATTTTTCAACCTATGGGTGCACAGACCCCTCTGTTAGAGAAACGTATAGAAGGCGCCCTGTACCCCTAACAGGGCGCACATTTCCAAAATCCCTTGACGCATCTGTCCTTAACACCACTATTATAGGACCCCTTTCCTCTACAACACAACACATCATTAATTAGATACATACTACATTAAGCGACTAGGTAAAGGCTACTTCTAGAGAGTTTAGGCTAATGCAAACAACATACACTTTATGTAGCCCTGTATAGCTGCAACTAGCTGCCTTAGGTTTTTTTTCCTCCATAGTTTTCCCTAGGGTAGCCCTAGAATAAGGGGAAACTAAAGTAATTAGTACTGTATTACAGATACTTGTTAGTACTTGTTAGGAAGGGGTAGGAATCTGGCTAGGTGGAGGATATCTTGGATTAACAAAGAAGCAGGGATCTAGTAGTAGCAAAGTCAGGGGTTAGTTATATACGTCAGCAGCAAGTTAGGTAGCAAGGGCCGGCAAATTGACTTATAGTTGGCATTAGATTTCCTCCCTTCCACCCACTGTCAGCTCTAGATTCCCCATGGCCTTGATGAACTATTTCTAATGAGTTGCTGGACGTCTTTAGCTAGAGATATATACTCTTAGCAGTTGTTATATGGGCTGGGTGGGTGGGCGACCTGCTTTCCACTATAGGCCTAGTCTGGGTGGGTACGCTATACTCTATACCGTTAGCCTAAAGAAGAGTGGAATGTCAGTTTATCGAGAGGATACGGTAATACTAGCACATGTAGGTATGCTAGGAAACAAGACAGACGGACAAAAATCAAGTGCGCGACGGCTGGGATCCTCGGTCTGTATCATGCAAACAAGTCCCCAACTGGATCGGCACTTGGGGGGGGATTTCCGGTCCATTAACGTAGCCAATGCCGCCGCGTGCGTTGCGCAGTTGAGTGTCAGTATCTGTTGGCATACAGGGATGCCAGTGGGAGTAACGTAAAAAACAAGTGACTTACTACCTACTGCAAGTAAGAAAGATATTTTCTACCCAAGCAGCCTAAAGCAGAGGCGGGATATTTTATATAGGATGCGTCCTTGAATCTCTAGTGTAATGATTTCCCAGCTTCTGATTTGTAAGGTTCCAAACTTTGATTCAGGTTTTAAAAGACGACCTACATCACATTTACTGGTATCATTGAAGTACAGCCTGTGCCAACGTACTTTTTGAGGTTCAGACCGTCAGAGAATCTCCCGAAGACATGAGTCTGCCCAAAGTTCATTGCAATTCAACTATGCAGCACTACCACAGAAGGTGTCTCGGTGAGAAACAAGACGAGCAATGTATGGCTCACCCATATGATAGAACAAAGAATACTACAAAAAATAAATTTAAAAAGAAAAGAAAATAGACTACGAAGCCGTGGTGGTATGCAGCTGTAGGTCTGCCTTCCTGTTGACTTCGCAGGATGTGATTAAGTCGATCCATCATGCTTAAACCGGTTTTTCGGCAGTTTCACTCACTCGGAAAGAACCTGCCGACGTCAATCACATCATGTCTTAGTTGAGCCGATTCATTATATCATGCATTTCAAAAACCCCAGAGTTCAGGTTATGTTTCTTAGTGATGAACAAATGTAAATGATCACTAGATTTCATGAGTAGTTGTATAATATACAAATATGGAACATTCTTCCTTTGTTCTCGTGGTATCGTCCTCCAAGTCCACCGTAAAATAAACATAATCGTAAAGAAAATTGAAACCAATTATAGCGCCTCTACAGAGTCCATCGCACCGCGCAAGACAGCCTGGCATCCTGACATCCGTCTGTAAGCTGCCACGATTCCAAGTTGCGACTTGAGAACACCCCAATCATTGCTGGTGACCACCGACTCACATGCTAGGCGTGCCTCAGCGTACGCTTCTGACCCTGTAAACATGCACGTTGCAATGGCGCTTAGCGATTCGACATGCCGACCGGCCCAGTAAACAAGTCTTCGTCCCACATCGGGATTTTTTTTGGGGGTTTTCTTTTCTGTCACACCTCTCTTTCTCAATCTTTCATCAACTCCTTTTTCTCAGGCCCCCCTTGACGTCTTCTATGTCCGACGCTGCGTGGGCAGTCGTTCCAAGAGGACGCAGATCAACATCAACACCAACGGCTACACATACCGTGAAGATAATGTGAAAGCAGGAGGGCTGACTGGTACAGAAAGTATTTATAAAGAAATCAAATGTATTAAGGCTCCATACGACTGGCCGTAAGGGGGGATGCTTGCCAGACAATCATGTTGTTGTTGTTGAGCATGGCACGTAGCCTAGCCCATAAGCTGGTTGACATGATACCACATGAAGGGATCTGCTGAGGCTTCTACCCTGTACTGGTGGATTGAGCCATCGACAAGGGTATAATAACGCTGAGCTTGGGTCGTGGCGATCGCAGTCGCGTTGCCAAAGTGTTTATCGAGAGTCGGCGGCCTAACCGTCCAGGCCGTGTCGTTCCAGTGCGCCGAGACCAGCATGCCATTGGCGGTGAGGTATGTGGTCAAACTCTCAGTCCAACCAGTGGATCCGAAGCTCAAAGAGGCGATCTCAGGCGCAGGATTGGTGGGGACGTTGGTAGTGAGTGGGTTTCCTAGTCATCTGGTCAGTCGGGACTCGTTTCATTGCGGGAGTGCCTATGCTTACCAAAGTTGCCAATTTCCCAACGACGGTCGGTCAAGGGCCCGGAGATCACCTCCATGAGGTTGTCGCTGGCGGACTGGTAAACGCGGATGGCGTTGGCATCCGTTCCTGTCGGGCCGGCGCCGTTGAAGTCGGTGAAAGGGTTCATGGAAAGGCCGCTGCCTGGGACGACCTTGGTGCTGATAGAGGGCATGACCTGCCATTGGTTCTTGGTTGAGTTCAGGAGCTGGACTTGTCCGTTGCTCTCGTATGCGAGCAGGAGCGTGTCGGTACAGCTGGGGCAAACTTGCCAGTATGCGGCAAGGCGTGAACCGTTGGAGGCTTGCGGGTTAAGGGTAGGATTCAAAGAGCCCGGCAACCACTGGCCGCTAACGGGGTTCGGGGAGTAGATCTCAGAGATAGTATTGTCTCTCTGCAGGTAGTAGAGGCTGACTTGAAACTTGTTGGTGACACAGGCCAAAGGGGTGCCAGGCATGACGTCCAACGCTGGGATGGAAGAGGAGTTCATGACGCTGGCCGTGACGTTTCGCTTGGTCCATGATCCGCTGAGGGAGTCGAAGAGCATAACATTCAGGCCGTTGAATTTGTCCTGGTAGAAGACGGCGGCGCGACCAACGTTGTTGTTGTCGGTCCAGTTCGTCGCGGCCAAGCTGGAGTTCTCGAGGATAACAGAGCTCTTACTGTCAACCGCAGGCGCTCCGCCCGCCCCATCAGAGCTGCTGGCCTTTCCCGTACTAAGGCCTATAGCCAGGCCGAGGATTAGAACCAGCAACATGGCAATCCCGACAGCGGCTAGGATGAAGGTCTTCCTCTTCAGACCCAGAATCGTCTTCTCCTCCGGCTGGGGAGCCATGGCCTTGGGGTTGGAGAAGCTGGCATTGTCGTCGGTGTTGGTCCTCGAAGGCGGAACGATTGGCGAGTTTGCCATGGAGACGGGTGCGACATAGGCCGGTGCGGGTGAGATGACAGGCGATGAGCTGGACATGGCCTCGTGGAATTTGCTGTCGATAACGCACTTGTCGTTCGGTATCATTGACTGGCGCATCACCACCTCCAGGTCGCTGTAATCCTTCTTGTCCATTGCGTAATCGGTCTTGGAGTCCATGTTCGCGTCTTGAGTTGCCTGCTCGAGTTCGGAGTTGTACGTATCGTGTGGGTCGGGACGATTCTCTCTTGTCGTGGGAAACTCGGCAGCTCAAGTCGTGATCGTGAACGTGGTCCTGCTAATGTGTAGTAAGAGTGTAGGAAAAAGGCTATTTGTTGGAACCATGAGCCAGCATGGCTCTGAAAATAGAATAGGTAGAATTGATATTAGCAAGACAAGCGTGATAGAACGAACAGAACGAGTGACTACCTAAAAGGGGAGTGTTAGAGGTAAAGGGTTGAAGAGGGGGGGGAGGGGCGGGGATCAATAGCAATAAACCTTCAGACGAAGGAGCATTCAAGACAGCAAAAGGCATCAAAACCAGGCTTGGTCCCCACAGCGTGTAGTGCTTGCTACAATGGCATCCTTCTTCTATCGTAGTCTCGGGCGAGGGGCATCCGGATGATCGATTGGGGTTCTCGTCAAAAACCCCCCAAGACATTACACAGGTCTAAGGCAGGGGTTGTGAGACCGAGATCAGATTTCTGCAACTACAACAATGGCAGGAAATGTGTTGCCGAATCCCTTTGTGAATGAATCGCGCAGGCTGCCGGGCTATGCCTGGTCACTTGCCCAAAATGGTATATTAACACATGGGCATGCAAACCTATAGCGAAAATTCCATTCGCTGATTGGACGCGGTTCTGGGGACCTCTCAAGCTGTTACCTTGTAGCGCAGGCTATGCAGTAGAATGACTCGAGCAACAAGGGCATGCCATCCCCTCGTCTGGTGTTTCACAAGAGGCCTCTCAATCCTGATTTTAGAGAGACAGAGGCTCGACTGAATGAATTCTGTATCAATTGTTGAGCGTGACTGTCGACTCCGACTCTAGAATGGGGGAACTCGATGCAGTGATCAAAACAACTTCATTGACAGTCGAGATATATTCAACAATGGTTCACAACTGTCGTAGAAGAGTGGAACCATAACCGCAGGCAACGACCGCGCTGTAGATGCGGCGGCTGTGTACCAATGCGAGTGCTTGGTCAGGTACATCCCTCTATACGGCACAGCCAGACGAGGGTGTGTAAGAGAATGCTGTTTCCTGGGTCCAGCTCCCAGGGCCCCCCAGGACATATCACATTAGGTGGCCAAGTGACCCAGAATTACGAACGGACACGGAGCATGGCACCGGTCGCTACCCATCACTGAGGATCATCGCGTTGGAATGTTTGGTTCGCTAGGGTTCAGGAAGATGCAATCGTGATATCTTCGAGGATCAAGTAGAAGCGGGAAAATGGTTCTCGCGAAAAATGACTTGAAAGACCCCCACGGGCCGGATCAGTCTCAGCCGAAGAGGAGCGGCGAAAACTCATAGGCGGGCCCAGTGATTATTTGCCAAGACATGATGAAGGCCGCCCTTTGCCGGTTCAATTCTGCCGCTCTTCAGCAAGCGTATGGCCTTTCTATTAGATCAAGTCTCTGAAGTCTGGATATACTATCCGTACGTATGTACTATGTACTCATACGTCTCCTCCACAGCCTCCACAACGGCAGTATCGGATTCGCCACCTTGATGGCAGCCCAATTTAGTCTAGTAACAGCTTCTTAGTGGCAGCCCCAAGTTTTCAGGCTTCAGCCTTAAGAATTTATCTCCACATCTCCGTCGGTGGCTGCGCCAGAGTGGCAGGATTAAGAACTACGTACGGATACTAGGTGCGGATATATCTCAGTGGCAGGTTGGAGATACGCGGCCCACACCCGTCATCGTGCACATGGGTACGGACCATTTTGCAAGCATGTCTCGCTACAAGCCCTTGGAATAAGGGCTGCAGAAGATTCACTTCGTCAGAGTGTCTTGGAGCGGTGTACTGAAACAACATTGGCTTGCCGTCATCCACCAAGTCGACCACTAAACCAGTGCGGCTGGCTTCGGTTGTAAGGCAAAAGAAAATTCTTTCCGAGTGACACTCTGGCGGGAATGGAACTACGAGAACCTCCTGGCTAGCCGACTGCAACAACCAAACAATCCTGGCCTGTGTATCCGTACATTAGAGGCGTGAAAGCACAGAGAGTGGAACTTGTGCGGCGGTGCCGTGGACAAACTACCATGGTAGCGCAACCGTGCGAGAATACGAAGAGTGCGAATAACCCGAGGGTGTGCGGCAGGAGAAGTCTCAAGATGGGGAAGCCCATGGGCCGCTTGTCTAAGAAGCCCTGGCGGAGCTACTTCAAGGTGGACATTCTTCCCCGAAAGAAATGAATCAGCCCACGCCATGTTCGTTCGTTTCATCCGCTTCGACCGGCCAAGCTCTCGGTAACCCACATAACGACCCCATTCTTGCCAACTCTTCCCCTCTTTCCTCATCCATACGAATATAAACTACGGATACATTGCCGCTACTCGTGATACGGGTGGTTGGTGTGACAGGAGGCTTCCGAGGTGCTTCGAAGCAAGTGACAGGTTTCGGTCGTGCAGTATACAGCCGTGCGCCCCCGCCTGGGAAACCGATCCAGTGGCAAAGCCCTTTCTTTACCCAACCGGATCAGAGGACGTGCCAAGTGTCATACTGGCATACATAGATAGCTAAGGGGAAGGTTCGTACGGTTGCTCAGGTTTGCAGCATTACGAAAGCACGGTCGAAAAACATGGTATGAGTATTATGCATGATACTCGACACAATGCACGAAGTGTCAGACGATGGCTCCCAAAAAGTGACAGAAAAATGAAGCCAAGCCATGAAGGAGAAGCCAGATAAATTAAAGACCGCTCGTCATTAGATAGTGAGTTCCCGCGGATGGCGAGCACGCTCTGCTGTTGCTGGGGAAAGGCTTTGGTCAGACGACCTGTCACGTCTCTGGGTGCCGCCCCTCCGATATGCGGGTCTGTCGGCCCGTGAATTATGGCGAACATGTAACCGAAATAACGTCCTTGGCCAATGACAAGGATCCCAATCAGGGCCCTTACTTCACTTGCCAGCATCATTGTGAAACTCGGTTCAAGTCTTCCGTCCCAGAGACTTGAATACCAGATAACCGGCTGAACATTCCCCAACTTGCCCGCCCCCCAGCTCAGATCCCTCTGGCTGTCCCTGTATCCATAGATTGGGGTATAATGAGCACAGGCAGCCTGGCCGGTTGGGGTTCTCCTCGAGGGGGCGTTGATCAGAGTGTTGCGCTAGGAAAGCTGCGAACATTCACAATAGGCGAAAACAGTCGTGTGGCGGCATCGTTTCAAAGTTCGCTACCAGACTTTGCAATGCATTTTGACGGTTGGCAAGATGGATCGAATACCTGCTTAGGATAGCAAGAAGATTGGGTTACCTACAAACAGGAACCTCACTCACTGAATTCGTTGAAACGGCAGACTCGGCTGCAAAGCGGGTAAGGCGTGTGAGCCCAACCCTCTTGTGTCCCGGGATGAGACGAACTGCTGCACGATGGTGTCACGGCCGAGTCAGACATACATACCTAGGGCAAAGGAAAGACGCTAGCTAGTGTTGGCGTAGTCACATATGCCGATACTGTCCGATAGAAACATGGACCAAAAGGCCCAGCCTCCAACACGTGCTCGCGATCCATGAAAAACCACTGGATGACTTACTCACGACAGTGCATCGTACGCCGGTCTAGAACAACCAGACGAAAACTCCACGCAATCTCCGTAGCTCAACATGAAATTCATCTAGCTGCTCCATGCGGCAGGCCACTCAAGGACTGTCTCTAAAATCACAGACACGGACGCTGTGCTCATCATGTCCCGTGTTGCCGCCAGCGCTCGTGCTCGCCCACCATGCGCGTCCAGCGGACGAACCGGATGCATCGCCTCAGACGGCTGCGGCTGCCACGTGGGACGCCGGTTAGCCGCTGGATGCGCCAACTCGCTCTGAAGATGAACGAGCAGCGCCCTCATTTCGGCGTCCCCGCCCCCTAGCGCCGGCCCCCACGTCTCGCACGGGGGCGCAGAAAAGCGGGCATCCCGTGTGAGGTCGACGTCCGCGGGCCGATGTTGCCTAACATTAGCGGCCGGGCTTGCCGACGGATTCTACGTTGGAAGCTAGTTAGCGTTGATAGCTCTGTGTACATGAAGGTCGGGATGGTATTATTTATAACTTGGTGTTCTTGCCAATAATGTAAGAATCGTGATAGCCCCATTGTCGATAACGCCGACGGGCTATCCGAATGTCCCAAATGCTACGGATATGGCAACATCACCCGGGAAGACGTGGGCGACGGCAGAGTTACTGAGTGTCAGTGATCAGCAGCGCCGTAGATTTTCTGACAGCGAATGAAGAAGTCTAGATTCATACTACCTAGGTAGAGCTTCTCGATGGAGATTCATGGGGTCGCACTTCCGGTAGCCTTTGGATGATGCCGGGGACAGACATTGTGGTTTTCAGGAAAGGATTATCGATGTCCACTCTTAAGGCAACGTCAACTATCACAAGGACCACATTTGCTCCAAGGGCATTGAGCTGGTTCGTAACACGTCTAGGCCCCTCATCGACGTATCTGCAGCTGGTAAAGACCACCACGAGGCACTTGGCACCGGGTTTCAGCTGCATAACGGCAGGAGGGAGACCTCCAAGATCTTGTACGATGAAATGAATCTGTTCACATGAAGAAACAAACATGACCTCTAGGGTAATACTGCAATGCCCTTGATGCTTGTCCCTATTCAGCTTCTCCGTGAGGTATCGAAGGACACCTAGAACACATCAGACCAAGGCAAAAAGTAGATAATCGACAACGAAACAAAGTTATATCCCTAAGTTGCAAATTTGTACAATGATACATATCATCTGTGGACTACACCGTCGATCCCAGATAACCTAGATATCATTTGTTCATAATTATGTAGTCCCAGTAATTGTAGATAATGAAGATCTTTACCATGACCGCAAGAACCTACCAAACTATCAACATTTTTTTGCGGATTAATTACTACGCTCACTCCTCGTCCCTGTCAACACTGATAAGCTCAAGTTATGATGACCCATGACCACGCGCAGCAGAGTGTATTCCAACTTCACTTGGCGCAGATTACCTTGATTTTCTCGTAAAAGCCTCGAATGTCAACAGGGACCAGAGCAAGACGAATATGGCGAGTAAAGCATCGCCATTTCATCGACTTATCCATTCTGCAGAGAAGCCCCGTGTCGTTGACGGCATTGATGGATAAACCAAGTTTGCTTAAGTGGGCGGTATTATTGGTGTACTGCCGCCTTAGTTGGTCATACGCATGAGTGGCTATATTGAAGAGGGTCCGTGCCGTCGGCAGGAGCCCTCGGCGGCCTCTTCTCAACTATGTCCTTATAGCAAACAACCCAGTCGCTTATTCGACTCGGTGATGGGACAATTTCAGAATAAGTTACTTCGTCAAAAACACTAACCAGGACGGGCATCACAAAGGTGGGGTATGTATGTAAGTCGTTGGTTCGGAAGAGATTTCATGGAACTTTATTTGACGAGATGCGATCCACAGTGAATTGAAGCTGGAAAACTCAAGTGTTAAACAAAGCTCCTCTTGACTGTCACTGAGTCTGTTGGGAGACGGGGCGACTGAAACTTTAGACATCGTCAACTTTGGGGCAGATTCGTTAGAACCTGTTGGCCTTCCAGCGTGTGTTATGTTAATCATGCACCCGGGTTGCAAAAGAGTTGTACACTTTAGGCCATCCACACCAAATATTCCCTTTCCCTAACCACGAAGATCCAAATATTGCCATACAAATATGCGATTTTAAATGATCGTAACATTTTCTATCAGAATTATGTCATTTAGCCCTCTCTTGTGATAGTCTCTTCAAGTCGGTTTGTTGGTTGTGATGGTAATTAAGTGATGGCGTAAAGTATGCAACTTTTGTTGCAACCCGGGTGTCATGCAACAAAACCGATTTGTGGCATCACAGTTCACACCAATCTACTCTCGCTTTAAGGGATTGAAGGGGCCTATCGTATGACCTTGTAAGGGTAGTTCAAGCCGATGAAAACTTCCAGTCACCCAATTATACTCCATCAGGACGATGCTTCTAGTCTTGTTGAGCCTATGGGCATGGCGCACTAGCAGAATTCTTATTCGTGTGGAAGAACATTATATGCCCAAAGCTAAGGTGCATCTACCAGTGAATTGCTATTACTTGATTCTCCAATTCTCGCCACGAGAACGATATCAGTGATGTAGAGTTGTCATTCACAGGCTGCAAAACTGACAGGGAGTATAGTTTCTGTGCTTAATATGTTATCTGACTATTCCACAGAACCAAATGAGCTTCTTTGACACGCATGCAAACTAATTGTTAGATTTTAAGTAACATCGGTTATGATATGGTGCGTTCTCTCTTGATGGTCGCTTAGTTCTATAGATCTGGACTTCGTCTGACATTTCCAATATCATTGTCGGGATATTCAACTGTTCAATGGTGGAACCGATCCATGGTCACGTGATTTATCATCACGTGACTTACCCCAGCGGCTCACTTACACCACCACAAATACCCACAGCAGCAACCTCTTCTCTTTCCCTTAATCATCATCTTCACCTAGCTACTAATAGTTAATTAATACTATTACAGCTACCTTAATTATAATCCTTATAATACTAACACTAATTAGTAGTTAACTTTATAGTTACTACTACTATAGATTAGTAAGGATTATTAAAAGAGGCTATAATACTTTACTTACTATAGTAGCTTAGATTAAAGTATTAAAGTGCTACCTAGCCTAAAGATTATTAGTACCTAGGATCTTATAATACCTAGTAAATAACCCTTTAAGCCTTACGTCTGCTATATAATAACTACTATTACTACTATTAACTTTATTACTTTTAGAGAAGTTTTTTTTTTTATATACTACTTACTTACTAATAACCTTTATAGTATTTAGTATAATTATCTTCTTTTTATACTTAAGTTTCTTTAAGTTTTTTTTTTTTTTTAACCTTTTTTTTTAATTATTAAGATTTTTATCTTACTAAGTTTTTATCTTACTATAGTAGTAATAGCCTATATAAGATTATAAGTAAATAGACTTTTATAAGTTTTTATTTAAATAAGATCTTACTAGTAAGACTAGTTATAAAGTAATTAAGTAATAACTACTTAAGTAATTTACTTTTAATATAGTATTTATAAGTAAATAGCTTTTACTAATCTTACCCTTATATACTTCTAATATTATATTATTAGCTAAGTGCAGCCTATAGTAATTATAACTTCTTCCCTTAACTAAATAATTAGTAGCTAAGTGTTACCTTTAGTAAGTATACCTTTTTTTATTCTTTAAGTAAAGTAAAAAAAGTAAAGGTTACTTATATTACTTTAATTTACTTACTTTTTTTTATTTTTTAAATACCTATTAATAACTATATTATCTTTCTTACTTTTTCTTTTTCTTTAAGTAAGGTATAGTTATTAGTAACTAATATAACTTTTACTTAACTTTACTATTCTAATTAATTTAAAAAGACTACTTATTATTTACTTTTAAGTAAGGTATATAACTTTAACTTTTTACCTTTTTTCTTTTAAAAATCTTTAACTATAGTATCTTACTTACTAAAAAGTAAGGTCTATATATATCTCCTTTTAGAGATAGTATATGTCTTCTCTTATTCTTTAAGTAAGATCTACTATAAGGCCTCCCTAAAGCTATCTCTTTATATTACTAAAGCGTAAGGCCTCCCTAAAGCTATCTCTTTATATTACTAAAGTGTAAGGCCTCCCTAAAGCTATTTACTACTATCTATTTATTTATTATTTTATCTTTTTATTTACTTTATTTTTTACTTATACTTCCTTATATTATATTATTTATTTACTTATTTTATTATTATTTATACTAATAGTAATAATATCTCTAATATATAGATTTACTTTTAACCCTATAGGTAAAAAGTAAGTACTTATATTTAAGAGGTTAGTAAGGCTAATAAAAGGTAATAATAGTAAAGAAAAAACTAAGTAAAAAGTAAAGTAAACTATAGGCACTAGCTAAAGTAAAGAAGTATATCTATTTATAAAATATTAAGAATCTATATCTTATCTTAAAGTATAGCTAGCCTTTTATTATTATATAACTATAAGGTATAACTAATTTAGCTAATATTCCTAATAGCCTTACCTTAGTTAAGTAATATAACGCCTTAAGTATTATTATTATACTTTAAATAGTATAATATAGCTTTATATAGCTATATAGTTAATAGCTATAAAGATATACTACTAAAGACTTTAAAAAATAGTTACTTAATACCTTTAAAGGTACTACCTATAAAACTATTATTAAATTTAAAGACTACCTAATATATAGGGGCGTATAGGTATTAATAGTAAAGTTACTAACTATTACTAAATAAATTTACTATACCCTTAAGGCTAATAATCTAAAGGCGTAGACGCTTAAGGATATTAAAGAAGGGAAGAAAAGGAGTAAGGATTTTTACTTAAAGATTAATAAACCTAACTTTATATAAGATATTATAGACATACTACTAGAAATAATATTAACATAAGATTAACTAGGCCTCTTTTATATTATTACCCCCTTAGTATAAGTTACTTAAGTCTAGAAAGGTTAATAAAGGCCTATTAATTTAGCCTTATTATATAATAACTTAAATTTTATTCTTTTACTATTTAAGTAGGTAAGTAACGCTTACTTTTACCTATTAGTTATACTAGTTACTACTACCTTACTTATAACTTACTAGCTTACTAACCTTATTAAATTATACCTTAATAAGATAAAGTATAGTAAAAAGGTATATAAGTTACTTAAATTAAAGCTTATAATTTTTTATAACTACTATATAAAGGCTAGGATCTAGTAAGAGCACTTTATAAGCACCTTCTTAATTATACTTAAAGGTAAGGCTGTAAAGTACTATACTAACTATCTTTATAACTAGACTAACTTTATTACTATAGTTATATAAATAAGGGGTAATTTTAAGAATAAAGAGACTTTTTAGGCCTACTTTACTAAGCTATAAAGGACTAATTTAATAAGGACTGTTTTAGATAATTTAAATAAAAGTAAGGCTAAATACCTAAAGTTACTTATTAAGAGAGTAACTACCTTTATAAGAATAGTTATAAGGATTAGTACCTTATCTAACGTAGCCCTCTATAACTAATTACTTAACTCTTACTATAAAATAAAAAAGTGCTTTTTTACCTTTTTTAATTTATCTTTAATATTTACTAGCATATATAGCTAGCTTTAATTAGTAATTAGTAATATAATATAATTTAAATAACCTATATATTAATACCTAACTAAAGAAGTAAATAATTAATACTAGACTAACTATACCTATAACAGCTAGTAAAGTTACTAGTAATTTAGCTAATATAACTATAGCTATAGTAACTTTACACTA